CCCCCCCCTTGCGTTTTATTTTTTCTTTATAATTTAACTGTGTTAAACGGTCACTTGTCCAACGCGACCGCAGCCACTTTATTTTACAAACCTACTGTCAAATTAATGTACCTGCCTCAGGCGGCTAGGCTTGGTCTCTCATTGCCCAACGCTTTGTCATAAACTTTGAATCGGGCCCTCTCCACCTAACCGCTACACTGCAGACGCCGATGGTAGCAAGTTTGAACCCCGAGGTTCAATAAAGTCCCGTCGACCCTCACGTGGGCTTTGTTCACTACGTCAGCCCTCACTCTATGAACAAACACACAGCGCCGACGTCACAGCACACAAGTTCACGGACAATGTCAAAGGTCAAACACATTCCACTCCCATCACACACGCTACATTGTGACATTCACTCGGGTCTGAATAGCCACTTTGTAACCAACAACAACTACAACAACAACAACAACTACAACAACAACAACAAAAACTGTCTAAGAAAGGGGGCTCTCATGGCCTAGAGGTTAAGGTGTTGGTCTCTCATTCAAAGGTCCCCGGATCGAATCCGGGAACCGACCGAAAAATTTTCTTTTCTAAAATTGTCTCCTTTCTTCTCCTTTCCTGCGCTCTAGCAATGTTCTTTCGTCTCCTCTTTCTGCCCCCACCCCCTCATCTCCTTTGCCCCCTCCTCTGGGCTCCTGACTCTTTCTGCAGCCTTTCTCCTGTTACTCCTTGGCTCCTCCTTACTTCGTCTTTCAGCCAAACCCCTGATCTTCTGGTAGGAAAGATCTACACCTAGCCTTTTAGGACAAGGGCGAAAAATTTCAGAGGTCCCGTGTGCAAGTTGAGCACGTGGTGGTCTAAAATTGATAAGAGTAGGCTTCGGCCGCCACCGGGGCAAAATTCAAAATATCCTACCTACTGTAAAAGTTTAATATGTGCAGCGCGCTCATTTGACTTCTTGCAGTTGCCAGCGCCGTAAAACACTTAGGCCTACCAAAACAAAACTGTCTCAGAACGGCCACGAAAATCTCTCAACGTCAGACGCTTTGCCACAACTTCTGTGTTGACCCCTGACTCTGTGGACGAGCCGTCCTAATCTATTCACCTGTAGTTATTGTTAGTCTCTCCACTGTCCGATCAAGTTGGGAAGGTCCCACCCACTGTTGTTTACCCAAGCTGACCACCCGGTAACAATAAACTTTTCAGCTGCTGGTGAGGGAAGCGTGTGGTCCGTCATAACCTATAAGCCCCACCCACAACTCAAACACAAATCGTAAGTGAGGTGACCGGTCACTGTTTACCCAGCATTTAACAATAGGCGTGAACAGAAGCGTCGCTCGTTCTCCCAGTGGTGGCGACCCATAATATATTTATTTATTTTACCTTGTCTTCCTCGTCTGACACATTTCGTTTTGTTTTACCCTTGCACATGGTCTTCCTCATTTGATACACCTTGTAGAATTATACACTTATTACAGCAGTCGCGAGACTTCGTCTCTCTTCGTAAATAAAAAATATTCTAATGTTTCACACATTCAGGAAGTCCATCCGTTTGTAACGCAATCAGTGAAGAAATTATAACCATGTCCTGAGCTTGCAACCAACTCCAGTTGGGAACTCAGAAAGGAATGATTTTAAAAGAAGAAGAGGAAGAAGAAGAAGAAGAAGAAGAGGAAGAAGAAGAAGAAGAAGAAGAAGAAGAAGAAGAAGAAGAAGAAGAAGAAGA